TAATAACATGAACAATATAACTTAGAAAAAGATGTTGATATGGGATTAAAATTTATATCGTGTCATGTTTTTATTAACCAAACATACCAAAAGACATTTCAAGTGGATCCCACATTACTTGAAAAGTTACATATAAGAGAAAAAATTGTGATAAATTGTGATTGTTCTGTAAACCCTAAAATACTCTTTCATCTCCACCCCAAAAGCAAAATCAATCTTCAACCCATATATTTTTCTTCCTCTTTTTTGGGCAGAAACTTAAGAGATCAAAATGGAGGGAATTCATGATGAGATTTTGGCGTATTTGGGTTGCCTCTTGTTTCCATAGCTTAAGATGTCTTTTGGCATATTTGGTTAACGGGGGAATATGACAAAGCATAAATTTTAGTCCACGGTAGCATCTTTTTTAAGTTGTATTGTTTATGTCATTAAAAAAATTAAAAATGTCACACCAATGAAGTTAGTGGCCCTAATCAACGGAATGGCTCAAATTGTACTATTTTTAGAGTTAAGGAATAAAAGATGTGCAAAAAATAATTGACGAAGAAAAATTATGTAAAATTATAAAGTTGAGGAATTAAAATTAGTATTTAACCTTTTTAATAGTTTAATTTAACTTTTGATTTCTCAAACATGAATTTTAGATGAAAATTTAATATATTATATAAATAATAATTGAAAATTTTTTAATCAAATAAAAGCATTCAATGAAAACTTTATGTAAGAAAAAAAATTTAATTGTTATTTATATAAATTGTTAAATTTTTATTTGAAATTATATTTAAAAAATCAAAATAGATTTACTAAAAATTAACAGAGAGAATAAATAACTACTCCCTCCATTCAACTTTAATAGATTTAGTTTCTTATTTAAGGTATTTAAATATAGTTGTTCATTTTTTCTTTTTAGAATATCATTTATTGCACTTACTCTCATTTTACCTTTATTTTAAAAAGATAATTATAATATATATTAAGATAAAATAAAATAAATAATTGTAATATATACTAAATAAAAAATTTTATTTAAATAATATTTAATTATAAATAAATATAAAATTTTATTAATAAATTATTATATTATACTTTTATTAAAGAAAAAACTAAATCTATTAAAAAAAAACAGAGAAGTAAATTTAAACCACCAAAATTAGAGGGAAGACAAATAAATTGGACAAAAGTAGTAATGAACCACCAATTGCCCATTCCATATCAGCATTTTAGACAAAAATTTAAACTTCTTTATTATAAAGTTATTTACATACTAATAT